AAGTCAATGTACCTCTCTAAACCTCAGTTTCCCTTTCTGTAAAATGAGGACTCAGAGAGTTGTTGTGAGTATAGAAGAATGAAAAGTACATGATGGGCTTAGCACTAAGCCAGGCATATAGAAAGCGACTGATACAAGATTTTACCCCTTGGAGCTTGGGGATGTAAAAGTGAGTCAGATATAGTCCCTGCCCTCACAGACCTCATGCTCTAGAGCAGGGATCAGCAAACCTTTTCCATAAAGAGCGAGGCACAGCAATCCAAAGTCGTGTGGCTAAAATTGTCTGCAGAGGATCTGAGACAGAGCCCTCAGCTGCCAGGCAGGAAGAGTGGTAGGAATGGCACAGAGATACCAGGAGAATGGTGAGTTGGGGGTGCATGTGTGTGAGGGGGAGGTAAGAGGACAGGCTGGGAAGGGCTCTGAATGTCATCCTAAGGGGACTGGAGTCTATGGGGGTGGGGATCAGGAGAAGGGGACTGACCATCAGAGTGTCTATCAAAAGGACACACCAACTCCAGGGTGGACTACAGGGGACAGACTGGTAGCTGAGGGTCTGTTACAAATGTGATTGGCAATCATTTGGGGTGATTGTGGTTGGTAATTGACAGAGCTCAGTCTATGACATGGGGATTAGGGCTTAGCTCATATTGGAATCAGGACGCAGCCTATGACACCAGGATTGGAGCTTAGTCTATGATGCCAGATCAAGATTCAGTGTATGACACCAGGATTGGGGCTCGGTCTATGATACCAGGATAAGAGCTAAGACTATAACACCAGGATTAGGGCTTAGCCTATGACACTAGGATCAGGGGTCAATATATGACACCAGGATAAAGGCTTAGTCTGTGACACTAGAGTGGGCATTCAGTCTATGATACAAGAATGAGTGCTAAACCAATGACAGCCAGATAAGGTTCAGTCTATGATATCAGGATCGCGGCTCAGTATATGACACCAGGATCATGGCTCAGTCTGTGACACAGAGATTAGGGTTCAATCTGTAAAACTAGGATCAGAGTTGAGTCAGTCATTGGGAACTAGGATCAGAATTGAGTTCATCATCAAGTCAAGCTCAACCTGTTCCTAGGTCAGAAGCTTCCCTATAAAAACAAAACTCAGTCCGGCATCATGGCTCATGCCTGTAATCCCAGCACATTGGGAGGCTGAGGTGGGAGGATCATATGAGGCCAGGAGTTCAAGACTAGCCTGGCCAACATGGCGAAATCCTGTCTCAACTAAAAATGCAAAAATTAGCCGGGCATGGTGGTACACATCTGTGGTCCCAGCTACTCAGAAGTCTGAGACAGGAGAATCGCTTGAACCCAGAAGGTAGAGATTGCAGTGAGCCAAGATCGAACCACTACACTCCAGCCTGGGTGACAGAGTGAGACCCTCTTGAAACAAAACAATAACAACAAACACACACACACAGCACACAACCCTGGAATTTCTTTTTTTTTTTCTTTTTTTTTGAGACAGAGTCTCACTCTGTCACCCAGGCTGAAGTGCAGTGGCACAATCTCAGTTCGCTGCATCCTCCCCTTCCCTGGCTCAAGAGATTCTCATGTGTCAGCCTCCCTAGTAGCTGGAATTATAAGTGCACGCCACCATGCCCAGCTAATATTTGTATTTTTAGCAGAGACTGTGTTTCGCCATGTTGGCCAGGCTGGCCTCGAACTCCTGACCTCAAGTGATTCGCCCACCTGGGCCTCCCAAAGTGCTGGATTAAAGGTGTGAGCCACTGCGCCCGGCCAACCCTGGCCTTTCACCTTTGATCTTTGGACCCCAGACCTTCAGGTTTCACAGATACGGGGCATGAGGTTCTGCAGGCTACGGGAGGCCTCAGGCCTCCACAAGGACCCTGTCCAGTGAAGCAAGCCAATCCTGCTGCCTCTCCTCCAGCCCCCAGGGGACTTGGCTGAGGAATGGGACTGCCTTTCCCCTCCCAAGCTCCCACCAGCCTCCAGGACCCTCCCCCACATCTGGCTTTCCTTCACAGCCTGCTTGGTTCGTTTCTGTGAGTCACAGATGCTGCTTTGGCTTTTGGGTGGGGAAGATTAACAACAGCAGCTGAACAGAGTCCCTCCAACCAGCCTGGGAGGGCAGCCTGGAAAGCAGTGATGGTGGAAACCCTGGCATTGCCCGTTACTGTCCAGCCATTCATCCATGAATACAGGCGGCGTCAGGGGGCAAATTTACCTTGAAGCAATGGAACTGAAGCTTCAGGCCCCATGTGCACCTGTCCCATCCAAAACTCTGCCAGAGGCTCCAGCAAAAATGTTTTTAGCAACAGCTTTATTAACAACTTTTTAAAAATATTTTAATAACAAATTATTAATATTTATTAACAACTACCATATACTTCACCCATTTAAAGCACACAATTCAGTGGTTTTTCGGCCAGGTGAAATGGCTCATATCTGTAATCCCAGCACTTTGGGACGCCAAGGCGGGGAGATTGCCTGAGCTCAGGAGTTCGTGACCAGCCTGGCCAACATAGCAAGACCCCCGTCTCTACTAAAACTACAAAAATTAGCCAAGTGTGGTGGTGCCCACTTGTAATCCCAGCTACTCGACAGGCTGAGGCAGAAGAATCACTTGAATCCGGGAGGCGGAGGTTGCAGTGAGCCAAGATGGCACCACTGCACTCCAGCCTGGGCGACAGAGTGAGGCTTTATCTCAAAAAAGAGATTGCAACCGGGCGCGGTGGCTCATGCCTGTAATCCCAGCACTTTGGGAGGCTGAGGCGGGCAGATCACAAGGTCAGGAGATCAAGACCATCCTGGCTAACACGGTGAAACCCCGTCTCTACTAAAAATGCAAAAAATTAGCCAGGCGGGGCGGCGGGCGCCTGTAGTCCCAGCTACTCGGGAGGCTGAGGCCGGAGAATGGCGTAAACCCGGGAGACGGAGCTTGCAGTGAGCTGAGATCCGGCCACTGCACTCCAGCCTGGGCGACAGACAGAGCAAGACTCTGTCTCAAAAAAAAAAAAAAGAGATTGCATAACAGCAGTTCCTCAAAAAGTTAAGCATAGATTAGCATGTACTCCAGCAATTTCCTTCCTAGGACAATGGAAAACACACATCCGTGCAAAAACTTGTAAGCGATTGTTCATGGCAGCATGATTTGAAATAGCCAAATGGTGGAAACAACCCAAACGTCCATCAGCAGATCACTGGATACACGAAATGTGGTATCTCCATACAATTGAATAGTATTCAGCCCTAAAACAAATAAAGCACTGGCCGGGTGCGGTGGCTCACACCTGTAATCCCTACACTTTGGGAGGCCAAGGTGAGTGGATCACCTCAGGTTAGGAGTTCGAGACCAGCCTGGCCAACATGGTGAAACCCCATCTCTACTAAAAATAAAAATACCAAAATTAGCTGGGCTTGGCAGCGTGCACCTGCAATCCCAGCTACTTGGCAGGCTGAGGCAGGAGAGTTGCTTGAGCCGGGAGGCAGAGGTTGCAGTGAGCCAAGATCACTCCATTGCACTCCAGCCTGGGTGACAGAGCAACACTCCATCTCAAAAAGAAAGAAAAGAGAAGAAAAGAAAAGAAAGAAAGAGAAAGAAATGAAGCACTGCCATACACCACATTATAGACAAACCTCAAAAATAGGTAAAGTCAAAGCAGCAAGTCACAAGAGACCACATAGTCTATCATTCCATTTATGTGAAATGTTCAGGGGGCAAGGGACATGGATTAGAGTTTGTCATTGCTTTGGGACTGAGCATCTTTGAGCTTATCCATTTCCATCTGCAGGTGGGTCCTGGGGCATGTGGCTCCTGGGGGGCCCAACTCCCTGCTCTCTGCTTCTCACTCCCCACCAAAAGAAGAGGCAGCCTCAATTCCACCATGAGAGAGAGACTCTCCTACCAATGTGGGCATTGTGGGCATTAGGGCTGGGCACAGTGGCTCACACCTGTAATCCTAGCACTTTGAGAGGCTGAGTCGGGAGGATCACTTGAGCTCAGGAGTTTGAGACCAACCTGGGCAACATAGTGAGACCTCATCTCTAATAGAAAAAAGAGGAAAAAAAAGCTTATTTTTCAAAGTAGTTTTTAATTTAAAAAAAGAAGAAGAAGAAAGCTAGGTGCCTTGACTCACACCTGTAATCCCAACACTTTGGGAGGTTGAGGGGGGCAGATCACCTGAGGTCAGAAGTTCAAGACCAGCCTGAAAACGTGGTGAAACCCCGACACTACTAAAAGTACAAAATTAGCCAGGCACAGTGGTGTGCACCTGTAATCCCAGCTACTCAGGAGGCTGAGGCAGGATAATGGCTTGAACTCGGGAGGCGGAGGTTTTGGTGAGCCAAGATCATGCCATTGCACTCCAGCTTGGGGGCATCACAGCAAGACTCTGTTGAAGAAGAAGAAGAAGAAGAAGAAGGAGAAGGAGAAGGAGAAGGAGAAGGAGAAGGAGAAGGAGAAGGAGAAGGAGAAGAAGAAAAAGAGGGAGAGGAAGAAGAAGGAGGAGAAGGAGGAGGAGGAAGAGGAGGAGGAAGAAGAAGGAAGAAGAAGAAGGAAGAAGAAAGAAGAAGAAGAAGGGAGGAGGAGGAGGAGAGGGAAAAACAATGTGGGCATGGGGTACTTGCATTTGGTCTATGGGACCATTAGCATCATTGATCAACTGAAGGCTTTTTGCTAGAGCAGGCATGACAAATTGATTTCATACATAAGCCAACTTGGATCACCTGGTAATGACTACTGGAACCGGTGTGTTGGGAAGAATCCTGAGGGGGCAAATGGCTAAGCAGGAAATTGCCTCGTGATTGACTAGCAATGTCCGTCATAGGCTTAGGATGGGGAAGAGGTGACACGTATGCTGGCTTCAAGATCATTGAGACCATCCTCCCACTCCCCTCATCAACTCATTTTATAGATGAGAAAACTGAGGTCCAGGGTGACCACCAACAGATGCAGAATCCAGGTCCTGGCTTCCTTAGCACTCCCAGCTTATCCCTGACACCTTGTCCCTCCTTTCTCCACAGGCTCTGAGCCCAAGTCATGTGTCCAGCCCTGTGACTCTGGAGCTGTGGCTTCGGCCACCAACAGCAGCAGTGGATCCTGGAAACCTGAGAACCCAGACTTCTTCTCTGCCATGGGGGATGATCAGGCAGGTGTCTGACTGCTGAAACGGGCAGGAGCTGATGACAACAGTGGCAGCAAGTACACTTTGTTTAGCACCTGTATTTTACCAGGCACTTTGTATATATTATCTCAGGGAATCCTCATCCAAATTTGCAAAGTCGTTATTATCCTGTTTTACACATGAGGAAACCAGAATCTGTTCTGAAATAAGAAGAGAGAGGAAAGGAGCAATGGAGGGATGAATGGATGGATGGATAGACGGGTGGGTAGATGGCTGGATAGATGGATGGATAGATGTAAGGAAAGAGGAAATCAAGGACAGATGAGTAGAAGGATGGATGGACGGGTGGATGGATGGGTACATGGATGAATAGAAGGGTGGTTAGGTAGATGAATGGATGATGGATGACTAGAAGGAAGAGAGGAAAGATGGGTAGAAGTGTGGGTGAATGGATAAATGGATGATGGGTGAATAAAAAGAAGAAAGCTAGACGGATAGATGGATGGGCCAATGGAAGGAAGGAGGATGGATGAATGGAAGAAGGAAAGAAGGAAGTATGGATGGATGGGTGGATTAAAGGAAGGAAGGAGGGATGGTGGATGAATGAAAGAGTAGAAAGGTGGGTGAATGGAAGGAAGGAAGAAAGATGAGAAGTATGGGTGGATGGATACATGAATGATTGATGAATAAAATGAAAGAAGGAAGGAAGATGGATGAAAGGAAGGAGGATGGATAAATGAAAGAATGAAGGAAGGATGGATGGATAATGGGTGAATGGATGGATGAGAAGAAGGGTGAGTGGAAGGAAGGAAGAAAGAAAGGAAGGAAGGAAGGAAGAGATAGATGGATGGGTTGATGGAAGGAAGGAGGATGGATAAAAGAAGGAAGGATGGATAAATAATGGGTGGGTGAATGGATGGATGAGTAGAAGTGTGAGAGGAAGGAAGGAAGGAAGGAAGAAAGGAAGGAAGGAAGGAAGTCTTTTTCTTTGAGACCGGAGTCTCACTCTGTCACCCCAGGCTGGAGTACAGTGCCCGGATCTCAGCTCACTGCAAGCTCTGCCTCCCAGGTTTATGCCATCTCTCTCTCAGCCTCCCGAGTGCTGGTACTACAGCCCGCCCGCCACCTCGCCCGTAGTTTTTTTGTATTTTTAGTAGAGACGGGGGTTTCACCTTGTTAGCCAGGATGGCTTCGCGATCTCCTGACCCTCGTGATCCGCCTGTCCGGTCCCTCCAATAGTGCCTTGGGATCTACAGGGGCTTGAGCCACCGCGCCCGGCTGTATTCTGGTTTCCACTAGTCTGCCT